TATCCGTCAATAGCAAGCTAGGTTGCATACTTGTATATTGTTTTGTTGTTTAAGCACCCAGCCACAAACTATGCTACGAGTATAATTTATTAATTAAAAGACTCCCCCACGCATCTAAAATTTAATTTAGAACATATATAACACCTTAAATTGTCAAATTAAAATTACACAATTTATTTCCTTCCAGTCGTTAACCGTACGCAAAATTGTTAATTAGCGCACTGTTAATTCCATTATTACAACGAGGGTAGTTTATGCAATTTAAGATCTTAATTACATGTTAAATTAATTATTTAAACCCCCATTAAAGTTCTAGAATTTTTCAAGAACCCCAAGTGCCCAAACAGTAGCAAAAAGTTCGTAAAAACATTTATTGAATGTGCAAAATGAAGGGAGCCTGCTCTAATCCTAAAAGAGCAGGCTCTTTTAGAGGTAGAGCAGCCTCTTTTAAAGGTAGAGCCTGCTCTACTTCCTCTAGAGCAGGCTCTACTCATGGGGGAGGCGGCTCCTCCCTCCATGGAGCCGTCTCTCTTCCCCTATGAGCCTCAGTTCAGTTACTTCTCCGTTTCCGACCGTTCTGCTTCTTCTCCAGCCTTTTTCCACCATTCAATTGATTTCAAAAACTGATCCTAAAGGTCTTATTAATACCAAAGATCATCCCAATGATTTGAAAATAACAATTAAAATCAACTACAGAAATTAAATTTGCTACCGAATTAACATGTGTTAAGAACAAAACTAAAACTATTTTTCAACAACAATTCTACTGAACTTAGGAGCCTTATCAAATTTAATTAATTCAAGGTCTTAATAACACCTAAAATCAACCTTCTAATCCTTCTGTGAAACCCCTGAATCAACAGAAACATTCCTATGCTCCAAAGTAACAAACAGTTCGTAGAAAAGTTTACAGAACATTCACTATTGAAGAGAGCCTGCTCTAAGTTTTAAAGAGCAGGCTCTTTTGAGCCTGGAGCCGGCTCTATAGGTCTTAGAGCCGGCTCTTTAAGTGTGGGAGCCGGCTCCCACATCCATGGAGCCGGCTCTCACCTCCTTTGAGAGCCTCCGTTCCCGTTCTGCTCCGTTTCAGCTTATCTGCTCCACCTCCGGTCATTCCAGTTCCTCTGTTTCTCTTAAATACTGAACTTACTAGTCTTATAAATACCTAGTATCATTCCAATGGCCTATCTACAGTAGTTGGAAACAATTACAGAGGCTAAAATTTCAACTAACTTAACATACTTTAAGACCAGAATGCTGAAACGAAAGCATGCATAAATTTTGGTTTACAGAATTGATATCAACACTTACAGATCATTGATATAACATGTACTAAACATATAATTTCCAATTAATGTTCAATTAAACCCTAGAGACTATCTAGGTGCACAGAACACAAGCCAAAGGGAAGGAGAAAGAGAAGAACTTGCCTGTGATTTCAGTTATGAAATCCCTGCGTCGTCTCTAAGTTTTCGGCAACTATTAACTTCCTTCAAGCCTCTTATGGGTGTGATCTAATCCACCACAACCCTCCTTTGACCCTCTCTGTTCTTGTCCTTGGTAGCTCTTACCATTGCCTCTGTTCTCTCAACTCTCTCTCTGTTACGTTCTATTTTTACTGTGCCGTGAATAGGGTTCTTTCAAAACCCTTAGTGAAACTTATACACGTATATATATAGGCCTTTAGAAAACCCTAATTAAACTAGAGCTAAAGCAGAACCCTAATTAAACTAGAGTCGGCCCATAAACTTAAGTCACATACACGTTAAATACTTGTATGACGGCTCCAAGAAACCCTAACTAAAAATTGTTAATTCAACTTCTACTTAAGCACTTATTAAAGACAATTAAATAATTAACCAAATAAGGCATTTAAAATACAATTTAAAATAAAACAAACAATACAATAACTCAGATAACTAAACAAACTATAATTCAAAGAAAGAAAATAAGACAATTAAATAATTAACCAAATAAGGCATTTAAAATACAATTTAAAATAAAACAAACAAAATACAACAATAACAAAATCAATAGACAAAAATGCACATAGAATAAAATTTAAATTCCAATTTTATCCTTTTTAATTTTAGGGGTATTACAACTTCAAGATGAATCTGAGCTATGTTTGTTCCTATTCAAAAATCTCAAAGTTCGATCGATCCAACCTCATTCTATGATCGATAACCATCTTGTCCTTATCCAAATGATTGATCTTATCCAGTTGTACCACCCTACCAACCACTTTTGTCCTTTTTCCAAAAATATCTTCAAAATATCTCAGATTTGTTTTTATCCAAAAAGGCGCCGCTATTGAAGATCGATCCAACTTAAATTCGATAGATCTCAGCCATGTTCGATCGATCATACCTCAAGTTCGATCGATCGAACCTCCCAAATCCCGAGAAAAATCTAAATTCCAGCTTATTAAAAGTTGTCTCATATCCAATCATTAGATGATTATTGGTGTACGAGCCCAGCTCATTTGGGGTGATTTTTGACCTACCTATATAAGGAATATGAGCCACTTTTTGAGAGCGCCTTTTGATATACTTTGATACACATACTTAGGGAGGAAGAAAAGAAGATGAGGAGGCTAGAGACACCATTGGAGACTCTTCATCAACCAAGGAGCAGATTTCTTCCATGGAGCTTGCCCTTGAGGGTTGGAGGACATCATCCATGAGTGGCTAGACATCCTCTTGGGGTTAGAGTTAGTCCTAAGCATGCTTTCTACTTCTTGATTTATGTATTTTTGAGGGGATTTGTATTGTGATTCATGTATTGACACTTATATATATATATATATATATACACATATATATATATATCTTGTTTTTTCAATGATTTATGTGGTTTAATGTTTCCAATTGATTATTTCATTCTATCCGTATGTCTATGTATGTTAGAATAGATGTTTATGTGTTTGTCTCTATTTCTTGTATTATTGATGCATGTCTATGTGTGTTGATGCTATAGATCTAGAGATTGTCAAGACATAGTGCTTAATGTCATGTTCTTGTGGTTTATTTGATGGTTCATACTCATTTCTTGATGGATTGTACCTCTCCCTTAATTTAATTAGCTTAATTTCATGCCATTAGTTTAGTTGTAGTGTAGTTGTTAAATGGGAGGACAATCCATACTTGTTGTTGATGTTCCATACTTATGAAAAGCAAGTAACATATATCTCTAACCTTGTGATGTGTTTGGATTGTGAGCTTAAAGAAAGGATCAATGGCTTAATTTGATATGTTGTGATATCCACCTTGTTGTTTAGACAATATATGCTTAATTTGTCATCCATGCTTGTTAGAACAACCACACGCACACACTTTGTTGCAATACATGTTTTTCCCCTCATTAATCATTCATTAAAAGTGTAGAAAAATTATACTTAGTGGTGATCTCTAAACCCCAATATCTCTCTCTCTTTTATTCTCTCTATTGCATTATTGTTTACTTAGTTTAATTTGCATCTAGTTAATTCAACCAACCAATCACTATTTTGATCACTCTACCTACTAACCCTAATTTTGATTCCTCAACCTAGTGCGACCCTCAATCCCTTGGGACGATCCCTACTCACCCTAACTATATTTTTAGTAAAAGGTAGTAGTGACAATTTCTAAATGTAAAACTTGGCCACATTGCATAAACTTTGGGTTTGGAGTGCGACAACCACACCAGTTAGACGAAAAATTATGATGAAAAGTGAAAGTGAAAGGAAGAAAAATTAAGTTTTCAGCATACATTTGGTTGAAGTACTAATGCTCCGTTTGGTAAGTATGAAGAAAATTGAATGAAATGGAGAGCTGAACAAGGCATCCCTAAGAAGTAGATTAAGTCCTTCCCTATTTAGAGAATGAGTTAATTCCTTATTTTGTTTGTTAGGTGGGAACGGAAGAAAAGAGAGAGTGTTAATAATAAGGAAAATTTTGTAATTTAAAAACGTTTATAATAATTTTGCCTTTTTTCTGGGCATCTTTCCTCTATATTTGGAGGGAAGAAGCACGAAGGATGACTCATCTATCATCTATCATCTTTTCTCTTTTCTCATTTTCTCCTCTCTACCAAATGAAAAAATATATATATATTTATTCATTCCTATATTCTCTCCACCCATATTCATTCCTTCTTACCAAACTGAGCATAAAAAATAATAATAATAATCAAATTAGTGTTAGATGAATTTATGTTCATTTTTAGCAAAGAAATAGTAAAATGTTAGACTATTAAAAATAATAATATAATTACTTATATTTAGCAATGGAAAATTCGCACTAAATTTTTTATGTTGATGTTCAAATATTGGGAATACATCGATCACTCTTTACATGTTTAGATTTATGACCAATTAGTATAAAAAAAATAAACAAATATAAGTTGAGTGAAGTACGTGAGATTATAGGATCCAATTGAGTGAAGCATATGGAAAGAAGAGCAAGAAGAGCCCGAAAAATAATTTGCATGGCCATAATAGGAAACTAACATATAAATGCAACGCTTGTGCAAGAAACACTCTAGGAAAAATTAACCATTTGAGAAAATTTTACTATGCTAACAACAATAATATTATTATGCTAAAAAAATTATTTTTTAACTATTCTGTCCCTAATAGTCCGAATTATTGTAGTGAGTTAAAACTTGAAAGCATGAAAGCAATATGAAAATTAGTGTTTTTAGATGGTTAAAAAAAATAAAAAAATACTCTTTAGGCATAGAGATTTTGACCCAATACTTGTAGTCAAAGTAAAAATAAAACCCTTTTGCAGGTAGAGGTAACAACAAATATTTAGTGAAAGTAAAAATTTATGAAAATTGGTTTACATCCACATTTCCGAGCACTACTTGATATCCTAGCTAGAATCCACTTTTTTTTGACAACTCTGCCTCTGTATAGATATATAACAAAATTAAAAGTGCTTAATTATAAGTTATAACAATGCAAAAAAGCAGCTACATAATTCAACATCACAAGCGACTTTGAATTTGATAGATTTATATTTTCTTAAAAATAAGAAGAAAAACAATATTGTATGTTAATGATCATCTAAACAATACAATTTATTATGATAATTACAATAGTTTCTTTCTAGTGAACACTCTTTGTTTTAAAAAAAATCTAAAATACCCGAAGGATACCGTACCCTAGGCTCATATAGTCATATGAATGCATCTCTAAGGGCAGAATGTAATATGGTAGTTAGGTCCACCACCGCATACAAACGTGCTACTCTTGTCATCATAAGCATAACTATAAGCCTGAGGACACGCACTCTTGAAGACTTTAGAGAAATCCGAAGGCTTACAACTTACTGGTGTGGCAAAGTTGCCAGTACAACAAAATTCCGGTTTATTAAAGGCCAAACACGCACTCTTGCAACCAATTGTATAACCCTCTGGATTCCTCATGGCTAGATCACTCGGACATATTGCATTCAGGTCGGCCGGGCATGCAGTTGACTTGCAACTTAGCCCGCCATCTGACCCGCCTTCTGGTGCTATCGTGACTGGCAAATTGAAGCCGTCCACGAGACTAACGTCGTAGTAATCATTTCCGCCATAGCCTGCTAAGGTGAATTCTACTAGGGTTGCAGGCGGCATTGCACCGGCGCCATTGCATGCAATTTGACCCGACCCGCAGTCTCCAATGCGGCAAGTGAACTTCCCGGAAGGGTCGTTGGAGCACCATGTCCGGGCCCACATCCGGCCCGACCACCCAGATGGAGCATTGAGAGATGTTGATGCTCCGGATGCTAACTCGAATCCAGTTGAGGATAATTGAGGTTTGCCACCACCAGTCATTGTTCCCGGCCAAATTGTGTAAGGGCAGTGGTTTTGGATTGTGAATGTAACTGAGTGAGTCCCTGCAAAACATTTTATGTACATATGAGTAGTGACATAGTGAGGAATTTATTTCAAGGGCACATCAAACATGATAAAATAAATATTTTTGCAACTAACAACTGAGACTGAGTCAAAAATTAGAAGTGTAGTAATCAAGATTCAAACAGCATGTCACTCAAGATTCAAACAGCATGTCACAATTCACAGAAAAATATAGTAAAGGAAAATTTAGAAACATAGAATATAGACAACTTACGCATAAAATTGTTTTAATAAATTGAAAAAGAAGAAGAGAAAAGAAAAAAGAATAAGAAGTGTAAATAATAGGTTTTTGCACTTACCTCCTCATACATGAGTGCAATAAGAAGAAATTTTAATAAAAAAACTAAACAAAAGAAGAACAAAGAAAGAGAGAGAGAGAGAGAGGACTTTGAAGTTTTAAAAAATTAAAGTTTTATTGAAGAACGTGAATGCAAATTTTTTTTTGAAGGGTTTAAAAGAAATTTGAAGAAGAATAAAAACAGAAAAGAATTGAAGAATTAAGAATGAAAAAGAAGAATTTGAAGAGGGAATTTTGTACAATGTCACAAACTTAGATACATAAAAAATAATAATAATAAAAATAAAAAAAGAAAAGAAAAGAAAAGACATTCAAGGGGGTAACTGCAAAAAGTCCAGGGACACTTGTCCCAGAGCCCATGCTGGCTCCACGCCATAGCCCTTGGCTAGCTATAAAACATAAAAAAGGAACAATATGATCCACAAGCAGCGTGCAAATATTTTTCGATTTTCATACACTTCTCGTTTTTTGGTGTTTACAATTTTGCTCAAAAAGCACGTATTTATACGGTTAGGGGCTGGTGACAATGGTATCAGAGGTAATTTTCAATTGAAAATGAGGATATACACAAACCCATGCGAATAAGGTGGAAAAGTTGTTTTGAAAAAAATTGTGAGTACCGAAAGAAGAATATATTAAGAGATAGTATTGAGTCATAATACTTACCTCTGCACCAATAAAGAGTAATTTTCCTATTATTCTTTGAATTTTAAATATATAAAGAAAAAATTTTTAAGAAGTTTTACTCTTTTTTTTTTTTTTTTTTTTCGTATATTTAAAATTTAAAAGAAACACATGTAAATCTATTATTAATTTGAACTCAAATAACTAAAATATAAAATTATGTTAGTAACAGTTTGTTGTGACTTCCTTGTGATCCTCTTGACACAAAACAATAACAATTCATACCTGATACGAAGAGGGTGACAAAGGTCACCACAATGAGTTTTAGAGCTTCCATTTCTTCTTTCTTTAATTAAATTGCTTTGATGGTACGTGTTTTCAGTTTGATGAGAAGAAGGGATTGACTTAGTGTATATATATACACAAACCGTCACCACACAAAATGAGCGTGGAGGCTTTTTCCTCGGTAAGTAAATGGGCGTAAAGGATTGACCAAACTATGGGAAGAAATCAGTGAACTTAAACGCATGCCTTTTTATTATGGACTTGCTATTTATAAAATATCTTTTGTGGAGAGGTTGCAAAAGTTTTTTTTTTTTATCAGTGAACTTAAACGCATGCCTTTTTATTATGGACTTGCTATTTATAAAATATCTTTTGTGGAGAGGTTGCAAAAGTTTTTTTTTTTTTAAAAAAAAAAAAAAAACCTTCATTCTAAAATGTATACTTGAGAAGGTGTAAATTTATTTCTTTATATTTTGTCACCACAGTTTAAGCGTATTGTGTGATTATTTAATCCTTAAATTACTACAAAAAGGTTTTAGATTTATCAGAGAAGAAATAAAGAGTTTGCAAGTTGATGATTACAACCAAGTTGTTCTTTTCGTGTTTTATTTTATTTTTATATAAGTTTTTTTTATTTGTGCTCTACGTGTTTATTTTTATACTGATAAATTATATTGACCCTCCTCCTGTTTTGTCAAATTACACTTCAGATTTGTAATTTTGACCTCGCTAAACTCATTGGTTGGCTGTTAAATGTAAAGGTAAAAAGTCAGTTATGCCCAATCGTCAATGAAAAATAACTTTTCTATCCCAACATTAAAATAATAAAACATGAAAAATAACTTTTCTGTCCCAACATTAAAATAATAAAAATTTATCCTTTTTATAATGTCCTAAATAACTCTTGATTCACTGTGCTAACATGGTTGTGTACAATGTCAATGTAAGTCCGTAACTTTCCATATGAATAAAAGTATATAACGAAATATTTTAAGATTTGAAATTTCTTCCAAGTTTGTGAACTTATGATTCTTTCGCACAAAAGATTGCAACATGATGGTGTTCATGACACACAGTTTGTGACTTGTGTTTCCTTTTTCATAAAAAGCGATTCTTTACCTCGATTTATATATAAGCCAACAACTTTCGTTGAGTTCCAATAAATGGCTAAAGAAAAATTTCCAAAGATACTTTTTAAAATGATGTGTTCGGATGGAGTTTTATTAGTTGTCACTCTCTTCTCATTTTCCCCTCTAACTATTAATGGTGCATGATGTGACATATTGTATGTCACAAATTTGATTAAATAATATGTGTCTTCAACCTTTTTAATTTAGACATGCAATAACATACATGTATGTTGATACAATAAGATACGGGAGATGATATATTATACGGTAAATCTAAAAAAAAATAAGATAAAAATATGATGCGGGATAAGGTAAAAAAAAAATTACATTTTTTATATACAATATATATAAAATCAGTTTGATACAAATATAATTATTAATATAATATAGGAGTATGTATTATTATTGAAAGATTTATATTTTAATGTTCAAAACTTGTTAAAAATGTGTTTAAGAATTAAGTATTGAATATACACTAAAAGTATTGGAGACGTAACATATATGTGTTGGAATGTAATATATATATATATATATATATATATATATATATATATATAATTATGAATATATTTAAGAAATATCAGACATGTATCTAAAAAGTAACTATATCCGATACGGTTAGGCCATTCTCGTAAAAATATACGTGTTTTCCACGTGTCACACCATGTGTTTTTCAGGGACGGATCTATTATATGGTCATTGGGGGAAATTGGCCCCATTGAACCTTCTTTTTTTTTTATAATATCACTACTAATTTTTCATTTTTTGAACTACATACATGTAGAATTTTAATGTTGTCTCATTGAAATTACCAAAAACAAAAAAAAAAAAGAAAAAAAAAGGAAAATTCACTTTTGCCCTCCGCTCACAGTTGGTCTCTGTCTCACCATCTTTACTTTTCTTTATAACAAACTAAAAAACAATGGAGCATGTTTTACACACCTCATGCCATGAATATGAGCAATGTTACATGTTAAAATGAGAGAATTCAAATTACGTCATGTTTGAAAGTACTGAAATTGTAATCTAGAATTAGGATTGGAAGAATTTTAGTTGACTAAACTTTCTCTAATTCTAACTTTAAGGTACTGATTTAGTGCTTCAAACATAGTTTTATAATAATTTTAACAAGTTTTAGTTTAAAACTGTTGATACTTATATTTCGAGTCCACATGGTAAATGCCACATCATCAACAATGGCCCACACAGCTTGGTCAAAACGGTTAACGAGTTACGCCACATCAGTAGCGATGGCCCACGTAACCTGGTCAATGGTCAAAGTTGCCACGGTATCAACATGATTCGAATAGAAGAACGAAGACCTGAGTTGGGAGCAAGACTCAGGATTCCCTGGGATCTGAGGAGGTTTTGGTTTGGTGGCTGAAGTCCAAGGTTCGCTGAGTCGACACTCAACCTGACTTGCAGAGAGAGAAATACCATTTTGACTCCATCTTATTTAACATTGTTTTATAATTACTTGAGAAATTAATCTCTTTTAATTATTTTGTTAATGGACCACATGTGATGTCATCAATGACATCACCCACTTTCACTTGGCCTATAAAAGAAAATTATCTAAGGCCAAGAAAGAGGTAAACCATAAACACAAGAGGGAGAAAAATTCCTCCTAGACCGAAAGCTCTAAGCTCGCTCTCTCTTTCTCTCTCAAATGAGTTCTCTACACAACCCCTAAAAGATCGATCAAGGAGTCAATGGTGTTTTTCATATACACTGCCATCCCTCTCTCTCTTGTTTGTCTGGGCTTCCACCTCTTTTAATCCACCTTGGATTCCATCATGTTGGAAGATTTACCTCACCATTTGTTATTTTGTGATGATCTGGAACCCACCTAAAAATCAGGTACTTACATTTGGCAATTTCACCGGGGAGGTATTCCTATGTAAATCATGAGAAGAGCCCTTTGTGGATAGGGAAGAATTTAGAAGCCTCTGTTAATCTCTATTTTGCAATTGAGCATTCATTGATAAAAAAATAAAAAATAAAAAAGATGGAAGAACTCTCTGTGCAAACTCAATAGAGCTCTTTATGCGAACTCACTGCCTTATACGGGCGACTTTGTTCTAAAACTCATCTCTGTCTACTTCTTTGCATTTTTTTCTGCTGATACATGGTCTTCTATATGTTGCTAACTCACATTTTAGGGCTCATTGTGATAGCACAAATCTCACGCCCCTCTATTCCCACTTTAATCTTCTTGTGCCCATGCTATTATCTGATATTAATTGATGCTCAATTAGAAAAAGCTAATGTTTAATCATGTTTTTAAAGATATTTATATCAAATCATAAATCAATTTCATACATATTTACTTTGTGGAATATATATATATATATATATTACTTTTCTGTATTCAATTACAGCCAGAGACACCTTATCACTATAGCTGTTAAAAATATCTCCTTTTTTTACTTTCATTTGAAGCCACACAAATCTTATAAACTGACATCTATATAGTACACACACACACATACATACATATATATATATACATATATATATATATAACGCTAGCTGGCAAAACCCACAATCCTTATCTACAAATGTCTTTATCCACAAGCACTACGTCATTTTTTTTTTAATTACTACACCAAATCCACTATTTTATAATTGTATATGTACAGCCACGCATATATATATATGCACACATGTATACATCGACCACACATGTATACAGTGACCCTTCCCCATTTAATGATTATCTCATTAAAATGTTGCTGTAACGACTCGAACCTGAGGGTCCGAACCGTTAACCTGGTCCTTACTCGAACCCGAGGTCAACTAAGTCATACTATCCATTTCAGCACATGGTTGGTCGGTCTGACATACAAGGTCGGTCGTTCTGACCTACATGGTTCAGTCGTTCTGACCTCAGATGGCTCTGTCATCCTGACCTCGGATGGTTTAGTCGGCTGAAGGAAAGGTTCGTCCCTCAGCCATTCTGAAAAAAAAGGTTCGGCCCTCAACCGTTCTGAAAGAATGGTTCGACCCTCAGCCATTCTGAAAGAATGGTTCGACCCTCAGCCATTCTGAAAGGTTCAGCCCTCGGCTGAAGGAAGGGTTCAACCCTTGGCTGGCTCTATCGGTCAGCTGGTTTTCGTTGTCAGCCGACTGACAGGCCCTGGATAGCTGCTATATGCGGCCTGATAGTCCAGAACCCTGGACTCCTAATGAGCCGAACTTGATAAACAACCTGATGTGCAGCCAAACTCAGATTCACGTCTATAAAACATAACATAATGTAATTGGAAGGCATCAATAATTGATCAAAACATAACTCCATTACCCATGCATCATGAAATAATTATATAGTCTCATTTTATACAATTGAAAAGAATTAAATACAAGGATGAGGCTTCTCTGACCAAAATTTACGTAGCTTTAATATAAATAAAATGAAATAAATTCCTAACTACATCAGTGTCCATAGATGCACATCATTTTCTGACTTGTCTCAGAATTCCTAAAAAATGTTACTGATAATAAGGTGAGCTCAACAGCTTAGTAGGAAAAAGCCTAAAATACATTTCTAAAAATCCCGTGAGCCGTAACCAAAGAAGAGGAGATCAGGAAAAGGGATCATGGGAATACCAGCCACAATATCATATATGAATTTTCACAAATTCTCAAACCATTTCATCACCAATCATGTAGATCAAGAACAAATCATGCTTCACAACTCAATACTGGACAGAATTAAACGTGCTCACACCAACAAGATTTAAATGTAGAAAACACATAGGAAACTCACTAAAACCATATGAATTCATAGTTTAGACTTCCCCTACCTTAAGATAGCAACCCAAACTCCAAGCTCCAAACTCACATCCTACCAAAAGCTTACAATACCGGTACCAAAACGTAGCCCTTGCAATGATCTAGAATTTGCTAACTCCAGCTTAAATCAAATCTTCTTCTAGTATGAAGAAATTCTA